GTTAGGGTAGGGGTAGGGTTTGGGTTAGTTACATAGCCATTTAACACCTGCGAAAATGACGCCAGGTCAGTTTGCTGGATGGAAAATAGTGCTAACCTCTCTTTGCCACTCTCCGGAGCCATTTGTCGATCAGTGATCTTAGACGTAAACTGGACTGTGTTATTTACCCTGCGAGCAACTTTTGTATATTGGTATATGACGTCTGCGGATCTGCGGCAGAAAACATTTTTGCAGTGGTACTACATATTATGCTGGTGTACATCAAATGTATTAGCACATACGGGAGCAACGTTTAATTTATTAAATATCTTTCTACATTATCTATAACTTATAATTTAATTAATACACGGTATATACAAATTACAAAGCCTATTTAGAATATTACATTGGATTTCCATCTGTGGAAGTTCTTTGACTGAAACTGTCTATAAACGTTTGATAGTTTGAAGTCAGCAAATCTGTCCCAAGAACCACTTGCTTCAATGTGAACGAGGTGTCGAGCGTTGCTGGATCTAAAAACGAATCAAAGATATGATTTTTGATTAATAACACGCGCGCGTTATCTATTTGGTTGTTCAAGTTCGAATGTCGGTTAGGGACTGGTCATTATTTATGGCGGGGGTGGCACCGAAGAGAAAAGGGTTGGGTAAACAAAATTTTGAGTGAGTAAAAGGTTGGGTAAATGAAAAACAAAACAACTCAAGGGTTGGGTAATAAAAATTTATTGTCATTTCCAAAGCATGACTCACTTAAATATTGAAGACTAAAAAGCAATGTCAACAGTCATACGTCAATACAATATGTAAATAAATCAGAGTCACTATCTTGATCATTTTCCGATTTGTCAGGAGGCAAGCGGTGTCTCCAAAGAAAGTACATGTGCAGACAACATGAAACTTTAGACTGCAGAAAATTGCACAAGCTGTTATCAAACTCATGTCACAGAAGTGGTAAAGGACATGTGTGACAACTGAATGGTATCCTTTTGTAAAGGTTTTGGCCAGGGGTGGGTATTTAATTTTTAATTGATGTTTGAGGTTGGGTAAGAAATATTTTGGGTTTTTAATGGTTGGATCAGTAAAATCTTTAGCAAGAAAAACATTTTTCTTTGGTGCCACTGCCAGAAATAATGACCTCTCCTTAACCGTACGAATTCGAGACCAAATAAAATAATTAGGACTCGTTTTGTACCGGAATACAATTACTCCTCAATTAGACTAAATGTGAACAGCGGAACCAATCTTTTTCAAGACCATTTTGCACGGTGACTGACTCCAGACCACGGAGATCTGCGCACGCGTACGTAAATATTTAGCGGAACAACGAAAATCTTAGAATTCCATCACTCAAAAGTAGACGAGTGGTAGTATTTTCCATCCTCCAAAATGACATCGCCGAGAACGCATGATATTAGTTTATATGAAAATTTTCTCTCACTCAAAATACACACACTATTTTGCATAATCCAGCATGCATGACACTCTATATATCAGCTTCTCTTCTTTTCCATCAGTCAGAAGTTGACAATGAATTCATACTATTTTCCATCCTCCAGAATGACAGTCTTCTCGGTCACTCAAAAGTCGACAATTAATGTATGCTCTTTTCCATCCTCCAGAATGACACTCTTCTCATCACTCAAAAGTCGACAATGAACCTATATTCTTTTCCATCCTCCAGAATGACACTTTATATATCAGTTTCTCGAAGTGTTTCTAGTTCGCTAAAATCAATCTCCGGTGTTTCATTAGAGGTGTTCTTCTCCTTCTTCCCACGTCCATTACTGACCACAGACAAGCTATTCACGCTGACCAATCTTTGAATCTTTAACTTCCTTCGCGAGGACCACGAGAACCGCCCTTTGAAGCATCCGAAATTGCAGGCGCCGAATATAAACGGGTTGAAACAACTGTTACTATAGATCATCATATTGGACAAAGTCTTGAAATGTTTTTCATAGCGAAACTCTGAACCACTTCCAAATCCTTTCCACATCCAGTAGATATCACCTGGCAACATACAAATGAGGAAAACCAATACAGCAAAGCTAAAAATCTTTATGATTCGCGTGTTGCGCTCCAAACGTGTGCGTTGCGCGTGATTCGAGACGCCTGCGTTCACCGCTTCGAACTCCCTCGTGTTCACGTACAGTTTATACCCAGATCTTCCGTAGCAATATGTAATGATGGTCAAAGGAATGCAATAATCTATCACAAGTAGTGACAGCGTATAGTAGGCACCGCTCATTTCGTATGGCCAATGTTCTTCACATTCCGTCCCATCAAACTTGAGGTAATATATATAAGGCGCTATCACGCATAAGCCTAACAACCACACGCAAGCGATCGCCTTGAGTAGATCAGAATGAGTCAACCGCTGTTTAAAAGGGGACATTATCGCACGATATCTTTCAATTGCCATTGCGGTTAGATTTAAGATGGAGACGAGCGTGAATAATGTCTGAAAAGGCCAAATTATTTTGCATAGAAATGCGCCATATTGCCAAGTGTTGTGAAGTTGGTCATACATGTCCAGCGGTATGCACAATGAGCATACGACAAGGTCCGTCATCGCTAAATTTAGAATGAAGTACTCGCTCGATTTTCGTTTCCGTTGCATGAGTTTTTTGATGATCGCAATATTGGCGATTATTCCAACCAAACTTATGATTGATAAGCATACGATTTGGAAAAACACGATCTGTTCACGCACGTTATCGGGAGCCTGGGTTCCATTCTTGGGAGCAGGAGTTGTAGTTACCAGGCTTCCCACGGTCATCCTGTATCAGGGTGGAGGAATTGTATATAAGAAACTTCTGCCTAAAACAAAAGAGTTTTTGATACTTAGAAGTGAACTATCTTTATTTACACTGCATAACAGGGGGCGGATCTAGCCTCATCTGCAAGGAGGGGTGTAGGTTTTCCATGGGGTGGTGCATGAGGGAGCCTTACTGCCCACTCTCCTCTGCAGTCTGCAACGCTACTATCCCAACATTACCATTATTTGAGATGGCCGAATCTGCATGTTCGCCGTTCTGTTACGCTTTACATTATCTTTTGTTTATAAAGTTTATATCGGCTTTTTATCACGTATGCGTGACTGGACAGTTGCTGTAGCACAGCACAGTAAATTTGCTTGTTAAAGTACAGTATATTTGAAAATATGGCTGTATAACAACCTCGACATGTTTACATATGTAACCATGATTTTAACTAAAGCATTCTGACTATTTTCTCGTGAGTTCACAAAGAAATCGACACGCGCCAATAATAAAAGTTCCGCTATTCGAAAAGCAAAAAATGTATGGTCAAACATATTTTTTTAGGGTGGTGCAGGACTTCTGTAGGGGGTGCTAGACACCACTAGATAGATATGTGAAAGGTGGTGTTACGTACAAAACTGCATCGCTTTCGTCCACAGCCAAAAATCGAACAAGTTTTTGGTTATTGCAGCATTCCCTGCAAGTTTTACATTGCCCAAGCTTACGTGGCGTTTTCAAAACAACATATAACAATCGTTGCAATATTCTTGGCAAAGCACATGCGACAATATTACATTATGCAAGAATAATGATAAAAACGTGCGCAATAATTATGATACAAAAGCAGTGTTCTATATTGTTTCATCAACTGTATATTTATCAATCAACAATAGACAATTCCCATTATAGACTAAATGGTTGCGAAATATTGTAACATGCGGAAAATATAGCCTTGCAAAGTTCGCAAATTTTGTATACTCTTTTGTATTACGTGCGAGTTTGGACCGAAAATGGTAGCAATTTCCGCACGCAATACAAAAGTATACAAAATTTGCAAATTTTGCAAGGCTATATTTTCCGCATTTTATACAATATTTTGCAAGCAAACTTTGCAATTTTACTAATTTTAGAATGCTCTTTCCGGCGGTAAAAGATAAAAAATAAATTAGTCTATAATGGAAATTGTCTATTGTTTGCAGGGTTGTGGTTCGAAGTTACAGTATAAATGATTGTTGAACAACACGATACCAGAATTTCGGAATTGATATAGTTCAGTACTTCAGTTTAACTTAGAAAATTATACAACTATTCAAAATCGTTTTAGCGTTCCTCTCAAAATTACTATGTTTTCGCTTTATTTTGTAGTTTACACCGTTAGCAACCTTTTTAAATGTATCTGGCGGTTGAGAAACACAAAATAATAGTTAAATATTGTCAATTTCAATACAATGATCATTGATGCTGTAAAATTGACGCCATATTTCTACAGCAATATAAGCAAAACTTATTGAACTTCAGACATCATTTTCTCTTTGGCGTACCATCTAAAATCTCTTCATTTTAGCACTATTTTACAGATAAAGCACTGAACATACTATTTAAGTTTGTTTGCCGCTTGGGAAACGTATAAAAAATTTAAAAATTGAATATATCCAAGTGGAAAAGTATATTCATTGGTTTTGAGCGCGTGTGACGTACATATACAAAATATTCTTCTCTTAAAGCAATATACGACTGAAAAAAGAGGCTGAACTAGCCTACAAACACCCGTTTCCTCTATGGCGCATATACTACCTGAAATGTCCTTATATTGTATCAGTGCATTTTTTAAGGATTCTTCAGTGGTGGGGCAAAACTGCCAAAGGGCCCATTCTCTCCCCCCAGAATAGTATGCGATCACCGAAGGTGTGAGCAGAGTACCAAAGGCACGACTGCTTAGGAAATGTTTAAAATTTGGGTCTCTGAAATAGCATTTCCTGCATTCTGAGAACACATTTAAAAAATAATCTCCGCTTCTCAAAACAAAGTTTCAATGGTGAAATTTGTAATAAATTGCATGCTAAACATTCAAACACAACATAAGTTTAACATTATATAATTAAAGTCATAGCGTGACACAACACATAAAGTCATAGCGTGACACAATAGGCACTGAGTCTGAGGAGTTACCACCGATCTAATAGGGAGTTACAGTCTTACAGATTGACATTTGCGGCAGATCGCTAACAGCAAACTTGAAATCGTATTTTTAGGGTAACTATATTAACTGTTCGAAATTAAATTAGGGCAATTTGCGCACACGTCTAGAATTTGTTAGAACTTAATTACCTTGAAATGCGATTTGAAGTTATATGCCGTTTGCGGTTAAATCTGTAAACCTGTATTGTATCATTTTGAGCGCGCGTCACATAACATATTTATACAGTTGATTACTCTGCGTAAGCCATCTGTAATTATTTCCTTGTAGCTTTAGTAAAGCCATGCTGTAATTTCTGTTTTGACATGCATAACTATATAGCTATAATTGCATTTTAATTACTGCTTATACATGAAAGTAACTAACTTAACAAAGCTAAAACCATTTCAATAACATGTATATATGGATTATATGGTAATAGTAACACAGCCATATTATAAATTAAGATTGCTCTAAGCTCCCCCATTGTGGCCAAAACAGTGAACCACAATAAAAAATATCACTGGAATGGTGAAACTATAGTGTATCTTAATTAACACCGTGTAATTTTCTTATATCTCCCAACACAATCATGATTAAAGCACAATGGCTATATCATTCAATACACTAATTTATATATAGTTGGATAAATTTTGATCAGATAATTTATTGCGACAGCATGCATTACAGACATGATGCATGTGCCATGAATTATAAGCCGGTAAAAATACAATTCCTGTGCCTCGATTTAGCTGTTAACAAGCTTAATTACGAAATAATTTGCAACTTTTGAATTGCCATTTGCTAGACCAACACGGAGAATTTAATATTTCTAATATTTAAGCGCCGACATTTTGCGAGACAAAAAACAGAACTTTGTTATGACAGAACTTTCAATAGTCGTTACTCCGATATGATTGCCTGCGTTAAACCGCAATGCTCGAGATACAATTGTTCACAGGAAATTGCCGACAATTTGTTAATTGTCTGCATGCATGGTTATTGGTTAGATTTTTTTATCAGAGATGCAGCATATATAGAACTATAAATCAACCTTCCTCCATGTAAAATAATTTTCAAATCTTGCTCAAATCATGGCTTTTTCAAATTGCAAAATATATAAGTTATGTCGTTCAAAATCGGCTTCTTATTCCTATTTCCTATACTGACAAAATATTTTCGTGACTTAACGCTTGCCTTTATAGAGGACGCGCAGTATTTCAATTCTATTTCAGAACCATCCTCAGACATACGAAAAACTATAGTTTCATATTATTCTGACACTGCAATAGACCAACGAAAAATTCGTTGGCTCGAGCGGGATTTGAACTCGCATCTCTGAGGTGAGTGAGGATGGTTCTGATTTCAGAACTTCTGAAATAGAATTGAAACACTGCGCGTCCTCTAAGACAAGCGTTAAGTCGTCACGAAAATATTTCGTGCACTTAAATCGCTACCAATCCGTTGACTCGATATACTGACAATTAGTATTTAGCATTGATCAGCTGCATGATTAATAGACCTTTCCCCTTTTAAGTGAAATTTTGATCTAGACTAGCCTGGACAAAAATTTCATTACAGCTTGAAAGAGTATCACAAAATTAGTAATATTCCGAAGTTTCGTTGCGAAATGTTGTAAAATGCGGATAATATATAGCCTTGCGAAGTTTGCCGTTTTTCAGTCATTTTGCATTACAAACGGGAAATTGATAATCAGTTTGACCATCTCATTATCAATTTCCCATTTGTAATCAAAATGACTGAAAAACGGCAAATTTCGCAAGGCTATATTATCCGCATTTTACAACATTTTGCAACGAAACTTTGGAATATTACTAACTGTTTTGCGATGCTCTTTCGAGCTGTAATGAAATTTTTGTCCAGACTTGTCTAGATCAAAATCTCACTTAAAAGGGGAAAGGTATATTGCATTGTACTCAATGCATATATAGATGCGTTGGTAATGCAGCAACTTTTCCAGACCTGTTCAAATGAACCGCAACCATAATTTGCACTGATCGATTCCTTGCTGTATATTGAAGACTGGTTTGCATCATATCGAAATTTCATTAACACTTTCTTTCATCTACTGCATGCATCGACATATCGATACATACCTTGATAAAATCTAACAAGATATTATCTTGTTAGATTTTATCAAGGTATGTATCGATATGTCGATGCATGCAGTAGATGAAAGAAAGTGTTAATGAAATTTCGATATGATGCAAACCAGTCTTCAAGCAGGGGTCGATTGCTCCAAAGCCGATTAGCTTAAGTTAATGGGAGTACAAGTTTCAGGCTTGAATTAGCTGTATCGAATTTCCACTCGATATACCTCCAACTATAAACTTCCGAAAAGCTTGTTTATAAATTTTGAAATATTTCTTCGGAAATCTTGTCTGGATCAGTAGGCGTTTTCTTCTCTGAAGTTTTGAAATAAACAGACGTGTAGAAATAAAACTAAAGCAGCAGGTTAAATTTTGACCGAGGGTAAGGTTAGCGCTATAAATATACAGCTTTGAACAACATAATTTATAGTGAATAACGTGTCCTAGACTTATATTCTATCGATTTTCTTGAGTGTCACAGTCTTCAAAGCATCCGCTTTTTGTCGGCGTCTGCGAACAGTCCCAGATCGTTGGAGAATTGACTTTCCACCACAGGGGGTCCAACTAACAGCTGTGTTATGAATAAAACATAAACGTAATATGAATAAAACATCATAACGTAATATTGCACTTACTTGTATAAATCATAAGAGCTTGCATTTTAATACAGTGAATAGCTTCAAAAACTTGCTTCGTTCCAAAGACTTCAAATATGGCAAATAAATTGACAAAACGATAATATTACATGACGTTCCAACGAAAATAACAGAAAGGATTGCGGGCGCGAGCGGAAGGCGAGGGTAATAGATATTAATAGAAGGGATGAAACACCGGTAATGCGATCGTGTGATGTGTTCCATAAGTAGCCTGTTCTCTCGGAAAATTCCAAAACGCCTCCTGCCAACTCCAACAACGCCTACGCGCTTAATTAATGAAAATAAACAATGTTTAGCTATACCGGCTAATATGAAATGTTTAAATGTAGCGACCAACGTTTTTTTTTACATTATTTAGTTTTATTATTATTTCGTCATACGTCACGAGAACAGGCTACTTATGGAACACATCTCGCGATAATGGCCAAGAATGCTCGCTGTTATAAATCACATAAATTAGATTGATCAGTGCTTTTTTGGTAATGACTAGGCTTGTTCATGTAAGAGAACATCGACTGAGCCTTAAAAACCCCACAAAAAGCTTAAACGGATAGTCTAGAAGCATTTTAAAAAGTCACGTGATATTTGTTTCATCCCTTCTATTTATTTCTTTCCTCGCCTTTCCGCTCGCAATCCTTTCTGTTATTTTCGTTGGAACGTCATGTAATATTATCGTTTTGTCAATTTATTCGCCATATTTGAAGTCTTTGGAACGAAGCAAGTTTTTGAAGCTATTCACTGTATTAAAATGCAAGCTCTTATGATTTATACAAGTAAGTGCAATATTACGTTATGATGTTTTATTCATATTACGTTTAATTAATATGTTTTATTCATAACACAGCTGTTAGTTGGACCCCCTGTGTTTCCACTCGACGTTTTGCCGAAACTGTTATGTCGGTTTCTGCGAGTATTTCGTTTTCAGTCGTATATTGGCTTTAGATAATTATGCGCGGCTTAGACAGGGCATTTTTTAAGAAATTACAACTACTGGGGCTCAACGAGCGCCTTTTTCCTCACACAGTTACGCGTACATAAAGACCATGCTGTCCTGACTTTTGTAAGATGAAATGTCAAGAATGTGAGAGGATATGAGAAAGCAGCTTTTTCAAGATGACTTTTTACTTATAATGATCAAAAGGGCCCGGCTTATCGGAAAATATATTGCTTCACTACTGCATGGGGTAAGCAAAAGGCCAACTGGGGTAAATGCGCCCCATTAGTTATGTAGTTAAAAAAATGCTCTGCGCAGCTATCAAGCAAAATGAATTTACTAAATATCAGGAGCCGTACATCGTCATCACCTTATATCCATATTCATGTATGCACTGTCGATTAGGCCAATGAAAATTGATATCATGTTTCTCGTCCACAATTTTCAAAAATTTGTAGCGGGATTTTTTCATTTTTCATTATTTTTTGTATTTGAATTCTGCTTGTCAATAATTTCCTTGACCCAGCAAAAACCCATAAAAATCTGAAGTATTAAAAATTGGTGTATAATTCATTTTAATTTAATACGTCCTACACTACAGTCTACAGACTACAGCATATTTCTACACATACCAGGGCTGACATGAAAATATGGCGAGTAATATCTTTAGAAAGATACGATTTGAGTTGTGCTTGCGGAATGCAGCAAAATCTGGAGATGAATTTGGTGTTTTTTAAGCCTATTTTTCAAAAATAATGAGTAATGAAAAATTTTCGTGCGGCAGATAAATCCCATGCGGGCGGGGACGAGAAACATGATATCAATTTTCATTGGCCTTATATAGTATACGCATGCATAGCCAATAGTTGTCCTTGGCTTTGCAAACCTTTATCTCTAAACCTTAAACCTTAAACTATATATACAAGGGCGTAAAACGAAATGGGAGCACAAGTTTCAAGCTTAGTAGTGAATGAATTGTTTTCGTGAGGATCGAGATATTTACCATGTCTCTAAGAAATGGGCCACATGCATATATTATTTATAAGCTGATTAAATGATGCTCTCATTATATGCTTTGTACACTTGGAGTTTAAGGTTTAGTGTTTATAAGGTTTGCAAAGGACAATCTTTTTTGAATTCGCTGTATATATTATGTTATAGTCATGATTTGATTGAGAGAATTTAAGCTTCGCGGTTGAGGGTAGAATTTTCTTGGCAGAGTTAGTCGTTTTTTTTTCATATTTGCTCTTTTATGTCCTAACAATAATTTTACATTTCTGTTTAAACACCTGCAGTATAGTCAATTTTACCACTATCTTATATTGCCCTGCAACGTTGAATATTTATTCGCTTGCATGCAGCGTTTGTCGTTTCATGTTCAATTAAAAACAAGCTGAACGTCCCTCTTATCTTCTCAGTCTCGATAGTTAATTCCTAATTCCTTAGCATAGAGTCATGAATCTAGATAAGTGCTCCTATATATATAACTCTGTGGGTGATGAAACTATGAAAAATACAAAAACGACTTCGACGTTCAAAAGCGAAAGTCACTTTGTCAGGCCGTCTTAAAATCATGCAAGCACTCCGACAAAAGAAAATGCACACAACATACCGTCTTTAGTTTAATGATATCTTCGAGATCCTTCTTTTCAGTCTCAATAATATTTCCTAACCACTCTCATTACACATCTACAGGCAAATGAATGCCACACACACATGGAATATTGAATATTTTCCCAGTATTTAACACAAGGCAACACTTAGTCAGCAGATAAAATCTGACCTTCTTTGGTTCTTGTTTACAACAACGGCTCAAGGAGAGCCCTCGAATGAAGAGAATGACAAAGAACATGTCATCTGCAGCACTTTGAATTGTCAATTATATAAAACCATGGCAATTAATTGAATTACAAAACGGTTTTGACACTTTGTCATTCCATTCCAAACCGCTAAAAACTGTTGGCCCGGAAATATTGAAGAGAATACTTGAATCAAACCACCCTGATCCATGCAAAATCCTCCAATAAGGCAACATATATATTGTTGAAACGTGCAGATCCAGGAATGCTACATCCAACCTTGTAGGAGAATATTGGACCAACATGTTGGACTGATGAATAATTAGTAACCGTTTCTGTAACCGTTTCATTTTAGCCACTATAACGGATGTTTCGGAAAAAACATGGCGGTATTAAAATTTGCAACAAATTCCGCCTGATAGACAAAGTTGCTTGTTGCACTAAACAAGAAACAGTTCTTATATTTATTATTTATATTGTCTGATTTCTGATTGTATATCTCATGCATGAGATATATAAGCTTGGCATGCAACTGTTGCATACAGCAATATATATTTACGTAACATGCTATACTTTTTTTAAAACAGCAACATAGCCCGTCATAGGATTTTCTCTAAATAGAATATTTCACTTAGCTTTAGAACGTGTTATATTTACGTCTATAAATTACGATCTAGAAATATGGAATTGCATTAGTACGTTATTGGAACATGCAGAGCTATACCAATACTGGTACATAGCCTAGAATATAGCCTACCTGAAACATATTAAATTTGCAGAGAGATTAGATTAATTAATCAATATAACTTAGAATTTAATTTAATTTTGTGGTAAATGCACCACGTTTAATTATTTGACAAAGCTTTGATCCGTCAGCGATGTTTAATTAAATGACTAAAGAGATACATGGCGTTAGGCGTGCGAAATAAATTAACGTGGTCACCAAACCGCAACAAATTCAACTAAACAAATCGTTACGTTGACGTCTTTTGCTATATGAAAATACAATATCCTTGGCTTCGAACCAAAGTTGTTACGTGTAGACCACGACACAGCCTGTGACGCAATAGAATGTAAAATTGAACACCACAGCTAAAAAGAGCACTTGAAAATTAGTAAAATTGCCAATTTTTTGGTAAGATATTATAGCTATAGAGGATATTAGGAGACGTATAATATGACGTTGCAAATTAGTTGGCACATCAGTTTATATTACGGAAGTGAATATTTGCCTACCGGTATACATCCAATACAAAAGTTGAAGGGTCTTGTAAATGGTAAGTATATCGAGTGTAAAATTTATGATTTTTTAAAAAGACCAATTTTGCAGTCAAAAACTGAATTGTAGCTCAGTTGGCAGAGCATTGGGCTAGTATTCCAAAGGTCGTAGGTTCAATTCCCACCGTGGCCGGGCATATTTTTCAAGCTCGCCCGGTGTGGATATACAGTCAGAGTAACATCACAAACATCATATTCACCTGAGTACACAACACCAACACAGAAAAAATCGTATTACTAGATACATTGGTATCGAAGGAACTAGATTCTGTTCCGAAATATCACTTACTCGAACCGTCCCGACCGCGTAGCTCAGTTGGCAGAGCATTGCCATTGGGCTAGTATTCCAAAGGTCGTAGGTTCGATTCCCACCGTGGCCAGGCATATTTTTCAAGCTCACCCGGTGTGGATATACACTCAGAGTAACATCACAAAGATCATATTCACCTGAGTACACAACACCAACACAGAAAAAAATTGAATTACATCGGTTGCAAGATTAGTAAGAAGGTAAAATGTCAAAAACAACTCTAAAATTAGTTATACGTGGTATTATTATTCAATCGAGTGACTAAAGTGAGTTGCTAACAAATTCGTGATATTTCCCCAATATAAAAGTATATAAAATATGCCAAATTTGCAAGGCCTTAATATCCTGACTTTACAGATATAGCTCAACCAAACTTTGCAATTTTACTAATTTTGTTGTGCCCTCGTCGGCTGTGATGTTTTTTTTTGCCTTAATAAATTTTCACTATATACGAATAACAATTGCTACAAATTACGTAACAATAACACAGATCTATATAGATCTATCTCATTTCTTTCATTTGGTTCGAAACCAAGGATACCGTATCTTCATGGCAAACATCCAACACATTCTCAACGATTTGTTTTGTTGAATTTACTGCGGTTTTTACATTTACGACTCAATGTAAAATATGTCAATCATTAAATATAGCTCTCTCAGTTCTAAACTGTTCACTTTAGAGCTCGAGTATATAAGGATCACCTCTTATTGATCCAGTGTTACTACAGGAGGAAACCTAAATTAAGCCAACTTACTTTATTTATACTGCATGGATAGCTCTATCAGTTCTAAATTCTAAACTGTTCTCCATAGAGGGCGGAGTAGGAATTATCCATTTGATGACGTAATCACGGCTCTGTTTGCCAGCAGATTATGCTAAATTTACCTCGACGTGCGCATCGCATTAACTGATTTAGTCGCGCATATATGAGAAACACTTGATTGATGCCATTCTTACATATGTCATCACTGCTTATAAAAATTTAGTGAAATTATTTCAGTAATATCATTTAATTTTCGTAAAATGTAGTCTTAGTTATAGTTATAGTGATGACAAATTATTTGTGCTGATATAGACGATTGTAAATTAAGTGGCGGTCCTTTTGGACCTCTGGGGAGCGATATTTAGTAAGCTGCACATGAAAGTACTATTCAGTATAAATATAGTTGCTATAAAGCCCACATAAAAAATACTTGTTTAGCGTCCTCGGCCGACCTGAGAAAAGCCCCGACCTCCAAATACTTTCTACTTTTATTTTTCAAAAACCCTCCTAGTTCGCGGGTTATTAGTTTATATGACCCTTCGGACGCCATGTTGTAATGTTTCTGTTTTAAATGCAGTATATTCATATATATTAAAGTTAGTTCTCAATTTATCAATTTATTGAAAGATACCAATTTTGAAAGTGAGTTAAAAACTGAATTACACTGCTTTACATCCTTATGAGTAAAAATGTCTACAAACACTCCTTATTTACAAGTTGTTAATTTTGATAGTTCTAGGTAAGAATGTAGCTAAACAATTATTATTTAAAACTAGAGTTGTAGGCCTTACTACCGGCCATAATAAAACTATTAGCAAACCTACTTGTCCTATGCTTTGATATTGAAAGACAGTTATTATTACGTAGAGAATATCCTGTTTTATGTCTTGGGGGAACGAGAGAATGGAGTTTATGGGATGTTTCATCACACATTTGATCGAAAAGTTTCGCGCAAATGGTCTTTCTCTGCAAGAACAGTGACACCACCCCAGCACGTACCAACGCATCTTCATAGTTGAGATCAGGAAAGATTATACGAAGGGCTCTGTGTTGACCACTCTCGATCTCGTCGCTCAAGTATTGCGCCAAGCCATAGTGCCATATTCTAAGATTGGTCGAACGCAGGTGGTGTGCTGAATTTCCAGGATTTTGTTTCTGAAACACCCGCTAGTATAGTGTGTAGGCAAAACCCCTCCCGCCCGGCCTGGAAAAATTGAAACGGGTTGACGCTAAACAAGTATATTTTTTATGAGGCCTAAAGTTGGTGAAGTTGAGGAGAGGTTTGGAAGCTACGCGCAGGGATATTTGTGTGTTTGATCCATATATAGAACCAAGTTCTACCTCCAGAAACCGGAATAACAACTAAAGAACGTTCTAATCCAGAACTGAACATTCATTCGAGACCAAAGAGAACTGTAAAACTTTCTCTCAAAGCAAGGAAAAGTAGACTACTAGAGGACTAGAATAATAAGACAATAACACTATCATATTAATAAGTAGTTAGATTATATAAAATTGAACTTTAATACTTTAATTAGTTTAAACTTATCTAAAAAAAAGGGGAAAAAAGGGAGATGTAGTATTAGTCAATTAGAATGAATATTAATGAACTAATTAGCATACGTATTTGTGTATAAATACCGGTACAAGATTTTAAATAACTCAGATAACATTACAGATGTATCATACATGTTAACACTTTAATATTATACTTGATTTTCATTAATTTCAGCTAATTTGATAACTATTGACTTAGTTGTGTACAGTATGGGAACATTTTTTTAAAAAAACACATGAAGGTTAAAATATGACCTTGAATGGACCTTTCCCCTTACAACTAAAATTTCGATCTAGACAAAAATTTCATCACAGCTTGAAAGAGCATCACAAAATTAGTAATATTCCAAAGTTTTGTTGCAAAATCTTGTAAAATGCGGATAATATAGCCTTGCGAAGTTTGCCGTTTTTCAGTCATTTTGTATTACAAACGGGAAATTGACATCCGATTCGGGTGTTGGGGCTGCAATTTCCCGTTTGTAATGCAAAATGACTGAAAATTGCAAACTTCGCAAGGCTCTATTTTCCTCATTTTACAACATTTCGCAACGAAACTTTGGAATATTACTAATTTTGTGATGCTCTTTCAAGCTGTGATGAAATATTTGTCTAGACTTGCCTAGATCAAAATTTTGGTTATAAGGCCCATTAAGGGGAAAGGTCTATTGTGGACTCTTATGAGTTATTAAAATTGAAACTGTTGTATATTTGGCTATTGGGGAGTATATATAGTATTTATATACTATTTAGTAACTATTTACGAGCATTTTTCGGATTTCCTGGACATGCAAAACTCATCCCTCTACTGCAAGCAATTTGAATTTAATGAAAAATTTAAATCTGTCATCCTCTTACCGGCGTAAACATCTAAACTGATTAATTTAAATATCATTATTCATGACAAAACACAGTTGTACACCAAGGCGAAAGGCGAATGTATGGGACCTAGCAAATTGGCCGCTCTCTCACGATGTTTGAAACTGTCACGATTTTTGAGGAATTCAGTGTAAATAAAATGAAAGCCAGTGCATTTACAGGCTTATAATAAGTAATACACCCCTCGTTGTTGTTGTTTTTGATATTCAACGGACAATTTGTTGAAATGATTTTGCATTGTCATATCTGACAAAGCTGTTTGAAATTCATTAAAGTTGTGCCCTTTTTTAACAATTGAACGTCACATTTTACTGATTTCTAACGCCTTCTATTCAGTATTTAGCCCTTGAATCTGCTGATACATGGCCTTGAATGCCCTTGAAAAGTCCTTGAATTTGACTCCTGACAGTACGAACCCTGTTTTAAAAATTGCTAAATAAAAAACTGACGTCATTTTTGTTACATTTAATCCATAATATAGAAAGAATATTTGAGAATCATAAAATTGATATCTGAGGATCTTGCTTTGAAACATATGCTGAGATTTTTGCAGCAGAATGCCTGATGGGCGCTTATATTTATTATTGCACATTACTTCCAATAACAGGATATTAGCGCAAATTACCCCCATTGAATTGCATTGTAAGGTCAGGGGTCTGTAGCATAGAATGGTTTTATTGTAATTGAAACATTCATATCTAATTGCTCCAGAAATGACAGTGTTGTATGATAATACATTACTACAATTGCAGGCATTTTTCAACAATCATAGTTAATAACATACACATGCAGGAACATTCATTCTTTTTTCTTGGGTTTCATATGACGTCAAAGAAGCGACGGGGGGGGGGGTCAACTCTAAAACAAAACACAGTTATGTGCCTCCTTAATTGAGGACATGTTACAACCATCACACAGACTTCACGGACTATTGCCAAAGAAACTGAGTGACATTAGGGAAAGATAGACTATAGGACAAATGGCGAAAAGATTTATAACTTTTTTTGCAATACTGAACGTTTTAGAAACAGCCCTGTAGTTCATGCTATTAATGAATATAATTTTAAATTATATAAGTAAGATTTATATACATATTTATACAATTCCATATATATATATATATATATATATATATATATATATATATATATATATAAACGATTTTAATATATATATAGGTCCATTGATGTAAATAGTTTTAAATAAGTAATAATTCTAATTAACACTAATTAATATCTGACGATGTAAACATGTTGTATTTTAGCTTTTTGCAATTGAACGTGTATTAATAAACCCACTATAACCCACTAGTATAGTTATCAGAGTGAGTCGATTGTTCGTTTTATGTATTTGCCTTCTGTTTGGTGGCAAATACATGGAATTTCGTATCATTTTCTCACTCCAGTACAGCATGAACATCAATACATTTGAGGTACGTTGACCCCCCGTCAGATTCACTGCAAAATGCCCCAGTGAAACCCAAGAATGCGACCCTGCGCCGAAATCACAGATTCGATTTCTGCCAGAGGACCTGGTGTTCCATTTTGCGCAACCGTTCCCGCGATCAGGTATAAACATGGTTAACATGCAGTGTATATATATCATCACTTGGTCTTGTATGGATTATCCAGCTATTCAAGTTTCGCAACATTGGAAGGATGTGATATCGTACTAAAAAGGCAATATGTCATAAAAATGTAGCGAGGGGAACTTCTGTAAGCCACAGCATGCTGTGATTGGACTCCATGAGCATCATCGTTAAACAATAAATTAATAAAATTTACTTTTCTACACTTGCTGTTTTGAACAATGCGTAGACCTATTTAAAACAATATAGCGCAAATAGAAATCGTGCAATGCTTAAGGGCTTTTTGTGATTCATTTATTTTATTCGTTTTGATATTTTTATTTAATAAAACACGAGATCCATAGTCAACTAATTTATAATAAATAAATATCAAAATATACTTACAAGAGTCACAGATTACATATGCAAATTAGAAAGCAATACAATTTTAGATTTAAACTGAGCGAGAGATTGAGGTCTAGCGAGTTCGACGCGGGTATATGTCGTTGGATAGAGTATAGCCCCTCTATAAGTAAAGCTTTTCTTTAAGGTTTCGGTTACTTATTAAGGGTCTTGGAACAAAAAGTTTATGATCAGGGTCTCGCAAATTATGTTCGTGTGTCATAGAAGTTGGAGTAAATTTTCTTGACAAGTAACTAGGAACCATGAATTTTGTACCTAAAAGTTTTAAACAGTTGAGTGCATCTGGTTTCAAGGTTGATCCAACGATCATTGGTCAAAAATGTAAAGCATTTAAATGTACAGCCAAATATGTATACTGGAACTTAAAACCAGGATTTTCCGCTCTGGTTCTACTGTATGTAAATGATTCTGTGTATTAAGTATATCCTATATGCATACCAGAGCGATGGAATTAAATATTTATATTATAGATATTGCATGGTACTTATGATTGTCGATGGGTTTTTATGGAAAGGTCCTTGAAATATAAAGGGCTATTTAGACTATTTACTATATAGTTAAACGATATCGATCCTTATATACGCCTATATATTCTAAAAGCTCATATATCCAGCTATTCAAAAACAGCAATGACACTCGAGAGAAGCTCAGATTGAACCTCCACTCATTGAGTGTGAGTGAGCTTTTAGAATACAGGCACTAGATGCAAGAAGCGATCAAATATATAATATACATATGTATATAGCCTATATATGTCGAGAGAGCTAATTGCGCTCTGCGGCTTCGCTGTATAAAATCGCAGCAGGCCTGCGCAGCTTGGATTGTCGATTATTTGAAATATGAGAAACTGTAATATTTACAAACAACTTGAGCTATTTTGAAAAGAACAAACCTCTGCATGTCTACTGTGTTTCCGTGTTTGCTTTGCCATTTTGAACAAATGTCGCTTGGCTTTTCCATATAGGAAAATTGGCATACAGAGTCATAGACTTTATTTATACTGAATATAGTCCTATCAGATCTAAATGTTCTCCCTAGAGATCCACTAAGAGTCATTTCTTTTTCGGCTGCACTGTATCACCACAACAGGAACCGAAGACGCTTTTCGACAAAAACGCATAATGATATATTACATATAAGTTATACTGATATAGACTAACTAGGTCGCAGAGGTTTAAGCCATGTTCAGCAGTTTCTATTTAATACCTTACATATCTTTTGGAAAAAGACTGGAAAATTGCGCGGTTTTATGCTAAATATAGCGTCGCGTACTCGCGAATATGCATTTCGAATCCTATATATATAGATGCCTTGCTATACAGTTTGATTTTCATGCATGTCGTTTTCAGTGATACAGGGTTATAGATTTTCACATGGACCACTGCATCGCGCTGTAAACAACAATGATACTTTGGCTTAGTATAGACCATATAGCCTGTGCAGCACTGCAGCTGGGATTTTTTTGAGGTTTGAAATAGCGAAAAATTATGAGCAGACCTTAGAGCTAGCGGATCTGTGCTTCGATTTTTGGTAACTCCTTTCCAGACGCGCGTTTTAAGTATACACATGTATACGCACGAAAAAGTTAATCTAAACAAACTTCTTTATTAATGAAACAGGCAGATAAATCATATATAATTTAAAGAAAGGTAATTATTACTTATGTAAAAGTTAGATTGACACATACGACACATACGCTTTACCGCCACAGAATGCGTGCAACTATATATGGAAAACAACAGCCTTCACTGAATATGATCCGCGCAAAAGATAAGCCCACACTAGAATACATATTTAAGAAATCAAGAACACTAACCTTGCTAATCCGTCTCTATCGTTCGCTTGATCAATATTTTATCTTCCGGTTGTGTTTCACAAGATTTTCACACCAAGACGCAAACCAACTGTTTTGTAATGCACGCTTTACAAAACACCCTTCCCGCTACCAAACTCTGAATCACGCTTCTTTTTCCAATTCGTTTAGTTTTCCTTCCTTTTGATGCGCGAAAGGTAACTTTTCTTACTGCCAACTTTCAGTTAAACCCTCTAGGCAATTACTTAGTTCCAACTTAGTTCCGCGTTTCGCCCCGAATGCGCGTCAAATGCCACCAGACTCCCTGCGGTAACAAAGTTTCACCAGATCTGGTTATTTTGACAGCACAGCAGCGGGCTCAGAGAGGATCTGAATTATGAATTTCAGCACCTATGAGTGACGAATAATTATGAAATTAGTTGCTGAAATCTCAAAGAGATACTAGAATAACAATTGCTTAATTGGCGATGAAGTACTTTTCATTCAAAATTACTCCGCGAAATATTCACATATTTTGCGTTCGGCAGTATCCAGCATGTTCCTAAAATTTGGAAATATTATTTATTTGGTCGTAACTGTATATTCAGTCAGTCATGTTTGATAATATGAAATGGCGTGTATCTTCACGTATTATTTATCGAATTTCTCGCTCATTGGTAAGCGGATTTCCCAACAGGCTATATTGCCCAATCGATAGGGGATCCGAGGTACCTACGATTTTAACGTCCTTATCCGAGATCGAAGACACGAAAGTGGCTAAGAATGGACGACTTGCGCTTTAGACTAAATTTTAATCTAAGTAAGAACAACGAAATCTATCATCACAGCTAGAAAGAGTGTCTTGGAATTAGTAATATTACAAAGTTTGGTTGCGAAATGTTGTAAAATACGGAAAATATAGCCCTTCAAAGTTGGCAAATTTGTATACTTTTGTATTACGTGCGGAAAATGGTAACTAAATTAGTTACCAATTTCCGCACGTAATAGAAATGTATACAAATTTGCCAACTTCGCAGGGCTATATTTTCCGTATTTTACGACATTTCGCAACCAAACTTTGCAGTTTTTCTAATTTTGATAACTTCTTTCCGAAAATATCCTTTGTTATTCCCAGATTAAAAATTTTCCTAAAGCGCAAGTCCTCCATATACTGATGTCAATGTAAAGATAGTACTTTCTCCTGAATTATTTTAAGACCTTGAGTTGAGGTCCGACCAATGATTGATCAAGCTGGGTGACCACAACCAACACGTTAGTAATTTCTGATTGAATACGAAAATCTGCAGCCTCAGTATAAGCCACCAGTTATTGCGCGCGGTTTGCAAGCGCTGCGACTATTGATGGCTTGTATCATTGTATTAACAGTTAAGTAGTTAACAGAGTTTATAAACCGTCTGATCCATTCTCGAGCGATGATCTTTTACTGATAAACCCAAGTACATGTATTTCGAAATATTCACACGCGTGCTTGTCAAGTTCTATATTGCGCTTTGCCCTTCAAATATTGCGCTAATATCTGTAACCTATTTAGCACAATACATTTAATAAACGGCATTTTTTGAAAAGACATTACTTAATTACCAATGAAGTTTGTAATTGCTAATAAGCGAAATTCAAAATTGCTGGCACTGGACGAACTTGGGGGGAAAAGATAATGACAGCTCGTCTGATACATCGATTCGAAAAATAGCTGTAATTTTTTTTTAATTAATTTCAACCAAGGTCATCGCGAATGCAATGTTTTCTCTTTGAGAAATTAAATCAGTTTATGCCAGATTTAGCAAAGACTGACTAGCCGATCCTTTTGGCGCAGTCTTGCTTATATTTCGAAGGGCTATAAATCATGTTTTCGAAGGGCTATAACAAATTGTTTTATCAGCGGTCTGGCAGCTAGTTTTGGAATCGCCCTATGATTCATCTGTCAGTGTAAATGCGGCAAAGCGACTCGTCCGTCAAGATAAACCCTTAATTATCGAGTATGCCTGCTTATATCTTAGTATATCTTTCTTTGCTTTCGTCGAAAAGCTATATATTAAAGCTTATGTGCACAATTTTCCTTGACGTGAGATAATCAGTTTGCGGTTATAGTGAGGAAAATATCAGGATGATATCATAATGCTCTCAGAACTTTGACCGGTTAGTCACGGTCGGTTATTCTTGCTAGATGACATATCGCTTTCTATTTACACGAAGGCGGGGGTGATGCTTGATGTCACTCGATTCTCGAGTATAAAATAAATCCCGTCATGTCTAAATCGCGCCATATTCTCTTTCAAAAATAGGCTTAAATAAATGACAGATTTTATAAACCGTCGTTTTCGAATAACTATACTTTATTAACCAATTGTCAGAAAAGTGCGCTATGTATTTTAAGCTCAATTTAATTTACTCGACATGTTTACCTTCCCAGTATTTATATAGAACATATGCCATGCTGTTTACATACATTGATATTATGCCAGGGTATAACATAGACTATACCGCCATTGAAGAGTTTAATAACTGAACTGCGCCACTCAAAAAAACCATTCTTGATTTGTCAGTGAAGTGCGCTAGCTGAATTACGTGCTTTTATTAAGAATATTGTTAAATGTATACTAAATACCTCTTTCCCGTCTGAGGAATCTCTCATTGACAAGCTAAGTATAATTTGGTGTTAAACACAGTATAATTCTAACGTCAACATCGTTCGGATTGATACTGACATGAAAGAATTACACATTAGATTATATGCATGAAACAGGTAACATAATATAGATACCTACCAACTAGTATAGGGCACTTACATATGAACAGCCCGTCCTGGCAGAATGACAGAAATCCTTTTTAAAGACTTGATAAAACACCGTGCTTATTACTCAACATACCATTCGATGCTAGTTATCTACAAATTGTTGACCATAACTTCAATTTTTGGCAATTTTCTTCATTTGCATTCCCAATTAACATGTTTTCAAAGGGTTATTAGCAGCCATCGTATCACTGATACGCGTGTCGTTTCAGTATTTGATAAATGTCTAAGTTGGTTATATCGCTTTGCAAATCTTGCAAGATATCTGCGCGCATTTCTATTGAAAGAAGCAAACAGATTAGTCCCAGTGGCCCAGCGGGCGTGCGGCTAATTTGTGGGCAAACAGCAACAATGATGAATGAGTCAAATTAAACAAACAAAAGACCCGATTTGAAAAAACGTATAAAGTTACCGCGTATAAAACATAGTGTTATGACTGATATTTAATGTCAATTTGTAGTTAATGACATAGTGAGAAAAATTAATAATAAATTAGTGTTAATTCTTTGTTCATTTGCATTTGTTGTCCAGTTCTGAAGTTGACACCTTCACAATGCTGCCATTAACGCTTATTTAATTTAATTTAAGTTTATTAAACTCCCTTACCATAGGTTTATTAAACTCATCTGTTAAATGTTAAAAAGTCACTACATAAATCTGCTCGACAGTACGATTTATAAAAAAGATAAAAGCAACAACAACAGCAACAACAACAGCAACAACAACAACAACAACAACAACAACAACAACAACAACAACAGCAGCAGCAACAACAACAACAGCACCAACAACAGCAACAACAACAACAACAACAACAACAACAGCAGCACCAACAACAACAGCACCAACAACAACGACAACAACAGCAGCAGCAACAACAACAG